CTTCTGATAATTCTTTTCACTCCTCTGTCAGAAATCATGTGAGGAGCACCTGGTCGAGGTCAGTTTATGGTGAAATGATGTCCTGTTTCAGTTCCATAATTCAGGTTTTTGTGTCACATCCTGGTCCTTGAGAAAGCCAGGCAGAGTAATCAAACACAGATCCACAGATTTATGTTTCACTTTGGTGAAGTTTCCCTTCTGTATGTAACAGAGTTGATGCAATCCACTGCAAAAGTGACAAAAGCAAAGTTATTTTATTATAGTGATTAATTTTACTTATATGTAGAAACTGTTACATTTTCATCACATCATGGATCACATATTGATCAGATGCTGCTGTTGACTGATCCATGATGTGATGTAAATGTAAAAGTAAAATTAATCACTAGTAAAATAACTTTGTCTGTTTTTGTCACTTTTACAGTGGATTGCATCAACTCTGTTACATACAGAAGGGAAACTTCACCAAAGTGAAACATAAATCTGTGGATCTGTGTTTGATTACTCTGCCTGGCTTTCTCAAGGACCAGGATGTGACACAAAAATCTGAATDAWGGAACTGAAAGTGAAAGTAGTCAAACTGAATTTTTAATAAACCAAAATACAGTTTCAAAGCAAATTAATTCAGATAAAAAACTTTAAATTCAGTTTTAAACCATTAAATTCAGTTACAATTTAGTGATATTTATTTTCAAACCAATGCATTCAATTTCAAATTCTGCACATTCAGATTCAATCTGAGCAATTCAAATTCAATTCCTGCTGGCACAAGATTTATCCCATAAAATGTGTCATTTGACGTCAATTTTTGCTATTTAAATACAGCCCTGATCAAAAACAGTTGGGATGTTCAATGTAAATACAAACAAAAGGCAACAATTTGCAAAATTGGTATTTTATTGACAATGGACCAAAGTAAACATATAAAATGTTTAAATTAAGAAGTCACATAAACTTTTAAGGCAAAGAGATAATTTCAAATTTGATGGAAGCAATATATCTAATAAAAGTTGGGACAACACAAGATTGTAAAAGGAAGTGATGCAAACAAACAGCTGGAGGAGCATTTTATAACTAGTTAGGTTCATTTGCAACAGGCCAGAAAGAAAGGCTGAATCTCTCAGAGAGGTAAAGATGAGCAGAGGCATCAACAGTCTGCAAATAACTACATCTACAAGTTCTGCAACGATTAGAACACAGGTGAAACGCCAGCCTCTCTGATGGTATGGAGGTGCATTATGTGCTTTTTGCATTGGTAACCTTAGTAGCCTCATCAGTGCTCCATTCTAGATTTGAGGAATCATAATTAAAAAATCCAGAATTATTAAACTTTTTGAATCCCGCATCAGAGCAAAAATACCACATTGTCTCCAAAACCTCCAGAACTGTTTTTATTCAGTTGTTAAAGCAGATGGATTACTTAAAACAATTCTTTTTCAATGTAGTTATTAATTGCTGTAATAAAATGTTAAATTGTGCAATTTTTTCTTACAAAATTGTGATTTTTTTATTTTTTATTATTTTTTTACAGATTTAGCA